CAAATTCGAATGATCTTTAGTATGTGAATGGAAAATCAAATTGTGTTTTATTCTTACAATGGGATTTTATTTGACAATTTAAATAAATAAACTGCTGATACACTCAACAACATGGATGCATGTTTAGAAAATACTGAGGAAAAGAAGGCAGACAAAAAAGAGTACATATTGTATGACTCCATCTATATAAACGTCTAGAAAGTCCAGTAGTCCATGGTGATAGACAGCAAATGGGTGGTTGTTTGGGGAATGTGATAGATGGAGCAGGAGGAGGGACTGCAGGGGACCAGAGATGTATATGGTGACAGATGTGTGCACTTCTATGAGTATGCCATGTATACCTGTGTATATATCTGGGTGTATACATGCAGTGTTACCTATCACATTGTAGATTGTATGTGCAGTTTATTAACAATTAGCTGTACCTTTAAAAGGTCATGAAGACACATTACACAGGATAAAGTCTGTGCCGCTGTGCAACACCATCTGAGCTTCAGCCTCTCCTCCTGCTCTGAGCCCCTTGCTCTGCTTTCTGTTGGCCCATGGGCGTTGACTTTACTGGCCTCCTTCCATGGTCTCAAGTGCACAGCTGAGCACCAGATGGGCTCCCATAGAATCAGACCCTGAAACAAGATGAATGAGCAGTCTGCATTTGGGAGTCCCCTGTATCTCTCAAAAATAACCTGAAGGGTGAGAACCTAAATTAGAGAGAGTTTATTCAAGTGCAGAGTTTGTGGATGGCCCAGCTGGAAACACTAACTCCAAAGGAACAGAATCAGCAATCCATTCTGAAGCAGGAAAGTGAAGGTTTCATTTACATAGGCAGAGTCAGAGGAGTTTTTTGCAGGATCACAACACTTTTCATATAAGGTTGACACATAGTTACAGCAGTCTGATTGGTTATGGCAGTGTTTCTTTTGAGAAGGGGACATTTAACATTTTTACAAAGGGTGCAGTGGTCACAGTTTTTGTCATCTGTTCTAAGCAAGGCAGGAAAACAAAGGGGAAGTTTATCTACAGCAAGAGTCACTAATTAAGAAGGCAGGAGGCTTCTGTTCCTGACATTGTTTAATTCTCTCTACTTATTGTACAGAGTAAGAAAAATAAAAAATTAAGTGAATCTATGGCCTGAGAGCAGGGGTTGTAACATATGTGACTCAGAACACAGACACATTTCTCTCAAGGCTCAAAGCTTTTCAGTTATGTTTATGCTTACACCTGGGTAAGAGCAGGCATTAGCCAGTGGGCCCACGGGGACTTGGACAAGGCATCTCTGCAGTTGAAGTGTTCCTGCCAGGGCTGACATGAGGCTGTGACTGACTGGGCTCCCAGCACTAGCCCTGTGCCCTTCCTTGAAGGGGATCTGCACCCCAGGGACTTTTCACTGTCTCCACTCCCAGATCCCTTGAGACAGGATACAGCTCTCAAGGGGTCCCTCAGCAGACCAGCCCCTCCAGCCCTCTCTCTCCAGCCTGTGTGTCTCTTCAGGGAACTTCCACTCTGTGCCTCAGTCTCACTATTCTAGTAGCTGTCTCCACCATGAGTACCAGGACATCCTGTCTACCTCAGAACTGTGTGTTAGGACTGCTGTGTTAGTTGGATATGGGGCAGTTCTGAGGGGGACATAAGGGAGCCACCACGAGAAGGACTGTGATGGAATGAGGACAGAGGTGGGATGGGGAGGAAAGTGTTCTAGGTGGGTGGGGGAGTGTCTTGGGAACAGGAGTGACAGGGACTTTTTCCCTTGGGACCTGTGGCAGTTGGGGTCAGGGATGTGGCCTTGGGCGTCTAAGAAGACGCCATGAAGAGGTTTTCTGAGCAGAAGAGGCAGGGTGGGTTCTGTGTGCTGTTTGGAGGGGTCACTGGGCCTATGAAGACAGATGGAAGAGGGATAGGAGGGATGGGCAGGAGCTGGTGAGGGGAGGTGGTGGAAGACTCCGATTCTGCTCTGTGTTGTAGGTGGTGCTGCTGGATTTGCTAATGATTGGAATGGGGTGTTCAGGAATCACATTGGTTGCACACATGTATCAAACGTGAGCATCTTAGAAATCCATGCAGCATGGAAGGCTGCTGCCCTGATACCCGGGTGCAGGGCATTCAGTGCAGAGGCACATCTGGGGACAGCTATTCTGTATACAATAGCATTTAAACCTCAGATTGCACAGGCTCCCTGGGGCAAGTGCAGATGGGAGGGGGCAGGTGGAGGCCCAGGCCCCATGGGTGATTGTGCTTGTCTCTCTTCTTCCTCCCATTACAGGAATTTAAAGTGTAAGTCTGCAGCACTAAGTAGGATAGAGGGAGGAACCCCAAGGGACCAGACATCTGCCTGTTTCTAGCACAAGACTGCAGGGAAGGGGTAGGCCCCTTTGTGAGGAATTGACAACTCCATATAGCCTTCCATGACCAGAGTATGAGCTGCTGCTGCCATTTTAATTCCTGCCATTTTAATTTCCCAGTAGCCCACAGAGCTGCCGATGGATAGTGCTAGCTAGGAAGGAGCAGCCACAGCCCATGGTAGAGGAGGGAGCAGGGCTTGATTACTTCAGAGACTGTATAAACAAGCAGGATCCCCAGGGCCCATGAGGGACAACCCAAACACAGCTGAGGTCCTTGTTCACCTGCACCTGCAAGAGGGCCGCAGCTCTGGAACCTATGGGCTGGAGTAGAGGGACTGTCCAGGGCCTGGGCAGTGACTCCCAATGACCTTCAATGTGCAAAGGCCCTACATGCTCTCTCACAGCAAGGCTTGGTGCTAGCTGCCTCGGTGGCCCGTGTGACTAATCAGGCTGACAGCCTGGAGCCCTGGGCACCCCCAGCAGGAGCTGACCCACTTTCCCCTCTATGGGCTGGAAACATTTACATAACAGACGCTGCAGGGCCATGCTGCCCCTGACAGGAGGAGATGTTTCTAATTAGAAAGGAGGCACAGAGCTCCAGACAGGCCACACTGTGACCTATCTCTTGGTGCCAGTCCACCAGCCTCAGCAGAGCGAAGAGCAGAGGGGTCCACTGGGGCCACACCAAGCAGTTGAACCAAGATTCTCTCCTGTTTTCTGAGACCTTCCTCACTAGTACACTTCTTAGAGACAAGTGTGCTGAAGTGATCACATAAGGTGTACTGCCCAGCAGAGCTGTCTGTACTTTTCCACATGTGAGGCTGTTTGTTTAGCACTTCAAACTTGGCGAGTAAATTTTGAGTTTTGAAAATAGTCACGCATTGCTGGTGGCTTCCAAGTTATACTGTGCAGAGAATATTACTTTATCAGGATGATTTCTAAAATAATTTTTGCTTTGTAAAATCCATGTTAAATGACATGTGAAGATCCTTGTTGTTTAGAAAGTGTCATGTTATTAAAGCAGAAGGATCACCTGAGCCCAGCAAGTTGACCCTGGAGTGGCGGTGAGTGTGCCACTGTACTCCAGTCTGGGCTTTGAAGTGAGACTCCAACTCTAAATAGATAAATAGAACTAACAATCTGAGTTTGTTGATGAAGTTACCTATAAATAAACATTAAAAATATGGTTGTATAATAGCATGTCATCTTTTTTTGTTTTGTTTTGCTTTTGTTGGTTTTTTTTTGAGTTGGAGTCTCACTCTGTTGCCCAGACTGGAGTGCAGTGGCTGCTCCCGGCCACTGCAGCCTCGACCTGCTGGGCTCCGGCGATCCTTCCGCCTCAGCCTTCCCAGTAACCGGAATTACAGGCATGTGCTACCACACCCGGCTGATTTTTTGATTTATTGTAGAGATGAGGTCTCACTGCGGGTCTCAAACCCGCAGGCTCAGGCAATCCACTCACCTCAGCCTCCCAAAGGCGCGGGATTACAGGCTGAGCCACCGAACTCGGCTAGCATGTCATCTTATAATGGGGAAATGTACCCATAGCTGTGACTTAGAGACATCTCCTTCCATACATCACATAGGTCATTGGGATATGTTTTGTTCTTGTGCTTTATTTGTATGTTTTTATTTTAGCATATTTTCTGGCATAAATATTTTGGTGAGGAAAAAAATGTCTTGCCCCAACTTTCAGCCCATAGTCTCTTCCTTGTATTACTTGAGCTTTTGCTCTTCCCCCGGTTCAAGGGCAGCATGCAGGCAGCCTGATGATAGTGGGGAGATGTCAGAGGATTCTGTTCTGTAGGATTTCACTAGGCAGCCACACCATGGTGTGATGTTGCCATCCAGTGAAGGATTAAATGTGGGGTTGATTATGCAGAGTCAAGTACTGTGCACCAGGATCACCATGGCACCACACAAAATCCTCAGTTCCCTTTCCCACGAGTACTTTGGTTTTACTGCCTATAATCATTCTTTACTTGTAAATCGTCAGATGAAGCCTTAATTTTGCCTGGTGGGCTAAATCAACTCACTGAATGATTATTCTCAGAAATTGTATAGTACACGCAGACCAATGTTTTGTGTATGGAAAGCATTTTCTGAAAACTTTATACAAGGGACACCCAATAGTTGGGCAGTGTAGTTGATGGAGATTAAATTGTATTAAAGAATGACATGCTCCAAAAGTGCTGACTAGGAATGCGAAGGGACATGGGTACCTGCACCTCAGCAAGGAGATTCTGTACCTGGGACTGCTCAGTTATGTCACAGCACAAGCAAAGAGTTGTGTAGTCCCATGGTGCTGGCTCTGTGAGGCACAAGTCCCCAGATCTTCCCTGGGGTGACTCCCTTCACTCTCCAGCCTCTGAGAGAGGTGTTGCTATCACCCTCTGGACAGTTGTGGACACTCAGGCAAGGGACTGGAATGACCTGCCCTGGGGCACATAATTAGCCTGCTGTGGGGCTGAGGAAAAAAATGTCCACAGCCTAAACTCCCAGGTGCCCAGTGCTTAGCAGGTAAGGCCTGGTCACATGTGGCAGAGAGGGACACCCCCACCTACTGCAACCTGGGAAGCCTGAGAGTTTTGCAGCCAGGACACCCCTGGATGTACATAGACCCTAAGACTTCTCGTAGGCAGCAGCTGTACCTTCTCTCTCCAGGTGACACCTCCTGGGCCCCATCTGTCCTTCCTCACGGCACCCTCAGCGCCTTAAGTCACCACCCCCAGCCATATTTTGGCAGAAGGATGGAGTCCAAGGTTTCTGAAGGTGGCCTGAACGTGACCCTGACCATCCGCCTGCTGATGCATGGAAAGGTACAGAAGAGCGGGGCCTCTGTTGTTGGGAGGGTGGAACATGCCAGAGGGAAAGAGACACCCACCATGGGGGTCTTCATGTAATTTGTTTATAAGAGGGTCCCCAAAAAATTGGAATTATCTTTTACAGAGCAAGCCCCTCAGGCCCTTTGTAATATAGACTTCCCCCAACAAGTAAGTGTTCTAGGAACCCATGGCATCAATGTACCAGCTAGCATTGTTGTAAAAGGCTGGGTTGGCTTAAGTGAATTTTTTTTGGAGAGTTTTAAGCGTGTTTGCCCCTTTCATGATGGGTGATTTACAAGCGCACCTGCCCACACCATGCTGAGTGTTCAGCAGTTTTTGACCAAAAACAGCATGTCACCTGTGCCCTACCCTCCCTATTCACCCCATCTCACCCTGAGTGACTTTTTTTTGTTTCCTCGGATGAAAAAAAGTCCTTCAAAGGGAAACTTTTTGCAGATGTGGAAGAGATGAAACAAAAAAACGGCAGAAGCACTAAAAGGCATCAATATTGACAAGTTCAAAATCTGTTTGGAACAGTAAAAAATGTGTCTCAATAGGTGTATTGCATCAAACGGAGAGTACTTTGAAGTTGACTGAAGTATAAACATGTAAGAATAAATTCACGATTTTTAATAAAAGAATTCCAGCTTCTTCTGATTCCCCCTTGTATTTTATTTTAAGCAATCTCAAACTTAGAATGCAGTTACAAGTACAGTCCAAATTATGTTTTTCCCAGCACATTTCAAGACAAGTAGCCAACCAGATGCCCTGTCACTGACTCTCTTGTGTATTTCCTACAAGCAGGAACCTCCTGCCACCATCAACGTCAGGCCACTAAAATGCATATATTCCCACCACACCTTGGGACCCACTCAGGTCTCCCCAAATACTAAGATGTTCCCAGGACAGCCACATGCAGCATTCCTTGGTCACCTCTCTCAAGTCCCTTCCCTGGCTTTGACTTTCCCAGCTAGAAGTTTCTACCAGCATGTGCACGGAGCTCCCTTTACTTTGGTTCTGAGGTCTCTTTGTTGTTGGCAAGAATGGGTATGCTCCCATCAGCCACTCAGCAGGGGTGCCCACTCAGCCCCTCCTGGAACCACCCCCCTCCCACTGTGGGAGGAAGTCATGGCAGGGATGCTCTGAGGCTGTGTCCATGTCCTGTCTGTCGGAAGATGTTCAGTGCATTCATTCAGTCATTTATATCTTCCTGAACTCAGGGCTTGCCATTCCCAATCTCTAGGTTGTTGTTCCCTGAGGCGACTGTGATTGGTTCTGGTCTCCATTCTGCCCTTGCTTTGGCCTGGCTCCCTAGCCCTTTGATATGTCCCTGTCATTCTGACAGTGCTGTCTCGCTCCCTGCTCATAGCGTCCTTGCCTTGCACACATCCGAGAACCAGCCACTTCTCTAAAGCCCTCTGACTTCTCCACATGATGATGATGTTTTGGAAGCCAAGATCAGGACACTAGTGCTTTTGCTCCTGGGCTCTTGTGGGCCCTGGACAGAGCTAGAAATAGACACATTTGTGGAATGCTCATGGACACAGCATTTATTTCTGTATTTATCTCTATTGAGCCCCATGAGTTCATATGTCCAGTCCCAGGCCAACAGCACAGGGTCCATCCAAGTGCCTCCTGTCTCAGGTTTGTACCATGAGTAATCCAACGGCCTCTACCTGTGCCTGATCTCCTTCCAGGGGGAGGCTGGCAGAGACTCTGGGCTCTAGTGCTTATAGTACTGGTGCACCCTGGATTTCCTGAAGACATGCCCTCTTCCCAGGTGGGTGGTAGCACTCACACCCAGAATGCCCACTTCTGTAATGGAGAGAGAATGATCTTTCCTCTCAGCTATGGGTGTTAGGAGCTGAGGCTGCAACCAGACAGGGCTCCCTGTGAGGTCAGGTGTGTACCCACCTCTCCAGCAGCAACAGTCAAACTACCCAGACACTTTCTGTGGAAGGAGGGCACCCTGATGATGGAGTAGAGAAGGCCCCACCTCATGCCCGGAGGCTATTAGCTTCCACAATCCTGCTGTATATGCCTTCCCACTCGGCCTCAGCAGACACCATGACCTTCCCTAAGAACATCATAATTACTGAGGGCTTCATTGAAATAAGGAAAATGAGTCAGGTTTTGAAAGATGTCATTCTCTGTGGCTAGAGCCAACTGGTCTGCCTCAAGTGACAGGCCATGGTAACCCCTGTCAGCTCTGTCCCACTGCAGGGCAGGGAGACACTTGACCACCCATCTGGGTAGGAGTGTATTTCCCAAACCTATCTCAGGCTCAACATTAGAACTGCAGCAGTGTGTTCTAGTGTTTCTTTCAATATCTACCTTTTAGAAATAAGTCATGTGGTAAATTTCTTAATAAGTCACAAAATTGGGGGAGATATTATTTTTCATCTATTTTTTGCAGGGTTTCCTGGAGGTCTTACTTACATAAGTGATGCCTCCTGAATTATTTATCTGGAAAACAACTGACCATTCCCGTGGGTGGCTTGTCTGTCTGAGCCAGACCCTCTTTGGCCTGGTCAGAGGGAGGCAGAGGAAGCCTCCAGACTCAGGGCCTCCTTGGAGTCTGCCTACCTTGTCCACATCCTTCCTGATGGATTCTGAATTCTCTCTTCCTCACTCACATTAGGAAGGAGATGGGATTTTGCAGTGTCTTCCCCAAATGTCTTCCTCCAGCTATCTGACACCATCTTTCTGTGTGTTTTTTTTTTTTTCCCTTGCAGGAAGTTGGAAGCATCATCGGGAAGGTAATCATTTAATGAACTATGCCTTTCTTGGGGTCTCTATAAGGGGACAGTGGGGTCAGCAGCTGCTGGGAAGTACCCAGTAGGTGGGTGGTACTGTGTTCCATTAAGTCAGGACCCCAGGGATGCACTGCCTCAACCCTGTTGGGGTCCCTACCTTGCATTCACACTTCACAACATTAAAGCTGTTCCCCAGGTCTGTTTTTCCCAGCTGGTCACTGTGGCAGCTCCCTGCCCACGCCTTGGTGGTCAGTGCTTTCTCCCAGGTTTGAAACCCCAGTGAGAATCCTTTTACTAACTTCTGTGGCTATGCCATCTGAATTAGTTCAGTGAATGACAGTGAAGGGCAGAGACCCTCCCTATATTTCCATTCTATGAAACATATTCCTGGGGCAGGTACAGCCCAGTTTGGAAGCCTGCTGCCTATGGTGGGGGGAGAGGCCTGGGGCAAAGGCCCATCTCCCTGGCTTGGTTGCATTTTCACCATCTCCGGTCATCCCCGTGTCCCTTTCCTTCTCACCCTGACCTTAGGAGCCTCCAATTGCTCATTGTCCAGTTTTTTTTTTTTCCATGAGAGCTTGAGAGGGCGTGGCTCAGGAACTTACCTCCCATAGGAGATGAGGGTGATGGTAAGCCCATGTGCAGCAGTGCAGGCACTTGAAGAAACACAGATCCTGCACCAAGAATGAACTGCCATGCTGAATGTGAGAGCAGAGTCAGGTCAGGTCCTGCCCCACCCTTGCCCTTCCTGTACCTCAGTTTTCTCATCTGGAAAGCTCGCCAGGTTGTGGTAGGAGTGGAGTCTGGCCTTGTTAGTAAAGAGGCCCGTTCATTGCCTGGTACAAGTTGGAGGCACCACTGTGTGAGTGTGAGGCAGGCAACTCCCCTCCCACCCTGTGCCCTGCTGCCCTCAGACCCAGGGATGCAGCAAGAGGCGACCCCAGCACTGCATGGTGTGTGCCAAGACCATGCAGGTCCTCAGTGGAGCTGCAAGTGATGCATTTTCCTTGTTATCTGTGTCATTACTGCAGAAAGGAGAAACTGTGAAGAAGATGCGTGAAGAGGTGAGTGTGGCGTGCCCCAACTGACATCCTGTTTTCAGGCAGGTGGGGAGGGTCCCAAGTGTCTCTGTCTGTGGCCCCCAGGCACCTGCAGAAGCCCTGCCCTTGCATAGACATTTCAAGGTCCCAGGCAGGCGCAGGTGTGAGGAGCATAGTGAAAGGCTTCCCTTTCACTCAGGCCTTCTGTGCTTCCTGTGCAGGGAAAGGATCACTTGGTTTCCTTGTGCTGATTAAAATTTCACTGAAAAGAATTTTACTGTTCAGTGTTGATTTGCCAGTCACGGTCCAAACACATGTGCTTGTATCAACTGTTGTCAGCAGGCTTGGGGACCCAGGCCATTGGCTGAATGGTTTTAATCAGGCTGCTGGGGTCTCTGCTCCTGCCCTAGAGTGGTGCGAGGATCAACATCTCAGAGGGAAACTGTCCAGAGAGGATTGTGACCATCACAGGCCCAACAGACGCCATCTTCAAGGCCTTTGCCATGATCGCATATAAGTTTGAGGAGGTAGGCTACATCCTGGACATCTGTCAGCTCGGCAGGTGGGCCTGGTGCCAGCTGGCTCCCTGGTGCCCCCACCCACCTAGACCACCCTTAGCTGTGCTCACCTTCTCTTCCTCCAGGGCCTGTCCCTGCTCTGGCCCACCTGGCCCTGGGCCAGCATCCTTCCCACCTTCTAAAGTCACTCCCATGCCCTCACTTCCCCACCCCAACAGGCCGCACTTACACCCCTCAGTCGCACTGTGCCTATCAGCTACACTCACACCCCGAGCACCCACCCCTGTGCCTGTCAGCTACACTCACACCCTGACCATCCACCTGGCCACCTGGCCCTGGATGAAGCCCTGGCTGTAAAGACTGGCCCTTGGTCACACACCAGCACACCATTGGCATCCCAGGCATTTATGTAACTTGGCGGATGGTTTGGGTGAAGACCCAGATGTGCATATTTACCCACTGGTGGAAAGAAATGTGTGTTATGTGCAGCACTTTTGTGTGCTTCTGTCAGCTAGTTAAATCTTCATGTTTTTATGTATTTTTAAATTTTTTTTGAAACTGCTAGAAGTTATTTAGAGATGCATGTAGGTCTTTAAGCATAATGAGGTGCATTTGGGGAACAAGCAAAGACCCCTCCAGCCAAGAACAGGCAGAGGATGTCTCTCTTTAAGAACAGGCCAAGATGAGGGGTCGACCACCTTCACTGTTATTTGACAGAGACTCAAAGGCAGGCAAGGGAAGAAAAGCTTCAGAGTGGGAAAGGGAAGGCCCAGGTGTGCCGGATGGAGGCTGTGATGTGGAGGGCTGCAGGCAGCCAACTGCAAGGGAGATATCCTGTGTGACTAGTTGGGGAAACATATCAGTTCTTCTCCGCCTAGTCTAGAGATGGAAGTGGGGACAAACATGAGGGAAGCTGATTGTTCTGGGCTAAGTGCAGCAGAGGTTATCATCTGGCTTGGTCACTCCAGAGGTTGGGGCCACTGTCCACTTGTGATACGTAGCCTGGCCACTGTCTGTAGGTTCAGTTCTCAGTTCTCCCTTTTAGTCATTCTCCCATTTGCAAGAGGTTAGCCAATTCAGGAAAGGCCAGAGATCCAAATTGTCACCACTCAGATCTTGTTCAGTTGTTTCCATGGTCAACTGTCCTGCAAGATCGTCTTGACCTTTTCATTGCTTGTCATCACGGCAATTATCTAACGAGAGTGACTGTGTGGATGCATTGAAGACTCTGGATAGAATGCATTGGACCAGCATCATGATACCACAACAGAAACAAGAACAATTAGCAGTCCCTGTAAGCTGGTGAAACCAAGAGCTGCCATCGCCCAACCCAGGCTGAGAAAATGAATCCCATAGGCCAAGAGGATCGACCATAGAGACCCAAACAGCTTTCCCTTAAGGTGATGTGATAGCCTGCTTCCTTGATGCTAGCTCAGCAATAAATGTGTATGATGGCACAGATGCCACCATGACCAGCCAACAAGAAACCTGGAACAACATAGTCACCCACCACGGCTTGTGTCACTGAGTTGAGACTGACCTGTCTTCTATCCAGGGTGGATAGTGTCATGGATAACTTCCACTGGAGTTGGCAATAGGTTTCTCACCGTTGCTTCTATCTGTGTGATTCTTACTGTTGGAAAACTGCTCTGTCTGTTCTTATGAATAGTGAGTTAGTAGTTCCTCCAACAGAGCACCAAAATCAATAGTGGCCTTGTTCTGGAACTTGAATCTGAGTCAAAATTTCTAGCCTTGAGATTTATAGAATTGGGGTCTCTGTGTGCAGAGAAGTTTCTGGACACCATTCCTATGACACATGAGATATTAGTCTAAGGCAAACAGACCAGGTGACCTGGCCCCAAAGGAAATAGAGGCATATGGTAGAGGCATATCAAGACCTGGAGAAAGTTGTTGCTCATGATATAAGGTTGGAGTCAAGACCTTATACAACTTGGATCTGTATTAGTGTCTTCCAGGTGATAGGTATTTGGCCCTTTTCTCCATGAAGGTTGTTGAATGTAAATATAGAACTACCTGGGGTCTGATCAATTGACTTTAATAATTGCTTATTTTGGGGGAGAAAGAGACACTAGCAAAGTCACAGATGAATTGTTTAGGGTCAGTTGTTCATTTAGATGCAAATGGAAACACCATTGACTATAATTCCCAAGGGTCCCATTGGCTGAAACCAGAATGTGCAGAGATTTTTATTCTGCAGGCCTGGTGATGGATGGCTTGCCTAGTAGTTGGTGAGAGAGAGGGCAGTGGCTTTCATTTGAGATAATCTCAGAATGACATTACTGTGAGTATGTTATTACCTAATAATTGTCATAAAGGGAAAAGGGGCCATTATGAGTAGATGACAACTAAAGGTCCTTGGAAAGTGAAAGAAAGAATGGTTATAAGTGAGCAGATGAAAAACAACACAGAAATTAGACTGGGGTCTTGATGTGACATCTTAGGCACAAATTGTCCATTATTGGAGGTCCTTAGCTTGCCTAGAAGGCCTCAGATCAGCTATCTATTTCTGAGGATCTCTGAGAACCTTTGTCTGAGTCCTATGTTGGAGTAGCTTTCTAATTGTGTGAATTCTGAAGTGCTGCTAGCTGTGAAATGAGAACCTGAAGACACTCCCTGCAGTTTCCTTTTGTATTTGTTAACAATACCTGAACAAGTCCTGACCAATGATGTTTAGGAACAGCTTTTATCTGATGTCTCTTCCAGTAGACAAAATCTTCTGGTTGAAGATTATAACGAGAGTGTTTGAGAAGATGTTGTGGGAAAGCAGCCTTTGCCCTGTCGGTGATGAATAGGGCATAATGACTCCCTTGTAACAATTTGCCATCTCTGCCTACAGCAGAGAGAGTCTAGCATCAAGGATAGATCCCTAAAGGCATGGACCCGTGAGTCCCCTTGAGGCCCTTGGGGGATAACCTGGTAGCTGAGGTGTTCCCAAAGTAGTGGACTCTATGGCCACAGGGGTAGTGGGAGCACCTTTGTCCAAGGAAGCTCAAGAGATTCTGAAAGTTCTGATTGTTTTAAGTTAAGGATGCGCTTTTTCCAGAAGATTGTGGATAATCAGGACAGTATGATTTTTTACTAAGGAGTAACAGCTTATGGAGTTATTTTATTAAATTTCTCATAAAGTGTGTGCCTCAGTCATGCAATATAAAAACTTGGTATGCTTCAGATTGGAAAAATAAAAATCAAGCAAATTTTTTTAGCAATTTTATGGACTCTAGCCTTTAAACAAGATAATGCTTCAACTCATCCTCAATATAGATGTACGATAACTAAAACATATTTAAATCCCAGGATGGAATCTGGTTAAGGTTCACCTGAAGGTGTTCAGAGGGTTCTTGAGGCTTTGCTTTTGAGCTGTGTCACACCTTTACAGCATGTCCAGGGCCGTATTGTTGACAGGTGACAGACACATGGCCTAAAAACAACCTCAGCATCTTATAAAGCTTCCCACCAATGCTTTAAGGTATTTAATGTATTACCCAACCTGTCTATGCTATGATGAGTAGTTTCATGGGTTTAACTAATGTTCATTTGAATGCATCTGACCACCAACCAGCTCTCTTGAGAGTACCAGAGATGATCTGAGTGAATGGAATGTCTTCTATTCTTCCTTCTCAAAATTGGGGATTAAATGTTGATATTTTCTCATGGCCTCTTTGATTGCCTGCAGAAATCTGATTTTGAGGGTGTATATGGAGTTGTAACCTTGTTAAAGTGTGATGATCTGCTAGAACATCTTCTGCTGTGTGGCCTGCCCCTTTCTGAGAAGGAGAAGTGTGTCTGAGAGTTCCGTGGTTCCTGGTTCATGTTGAATGGGGTTCAGCAGAGAAACTCCTTGTATTCAAAACACACGAAGTCATAGACCATCCCAAAGCATTCCTGCTGTCTGGTATTTATGTGAGTTCCCTGACCTTTGGCTGATTGACAAACTCTAGTAAGCATGATGAGTTCTGCTGCCTAGCTGATTTTACCTTGTGTAGGAGACTATTCTAAAGGAGAGTTTGAGTTAGTTGTAGCACACTGTCTTCGTCTGTTTGGGTAATTGTGACAAACTACCACAGCTGAGAGGCTTCAAGACACTGTTTCTCTCACATCCTGGAGTTGGAAAGTTCAAAATCAAGGTGTCATGAGGGTTGGTTTCTCCTGAAATCTCTCTTCCTAACATGTATATGCTATCTTCTCCCTGTGTCCTCACATGGTCATTGCTCTGTGTGTGTCTGTGTCTTTATCTCCTCTTCTTACTAGTCATATTGGATTAGAGACCCAATGATCTCATTTTACCTTAATTACCTCTGTAAGCGCCCCATCTCTAAATACAGTCACAGTGGGAGTTAGAGCTTCAACCTATGAATTTTGGGGGCAGAACTCAGTTCATAGCACACACCCTGCTTGAAATCCTCTAGTTCTGTTTTGAGATATAATATTAGGTGCTGATTCTCAACAGGGATCTGCCAAGGCTGAGAAAAATAAGTGGAATCCATTCAAGCCTTTCTTGCTCTCTAAATTAAGTAGAAGATCATCTATATGAAATTTTGATATTTTAAGCCTCAATTGAGGAACTGGAAAAAGTAGGAGGGGGCTTCAGCAACCCCCTGGGGCAGGACTGTCCAGGTATGCCATTGTCCTCCCCAGTGAAGGTGAAAAGGTATTTATTCTCATGTTCTAGAGGCATACTGGAAAAGGCAGAGTGAAGATCTCCTTTTGTAAAGCAAGTGGCTTCAGAAGGAATTGATAACAGATTTGTACCACCAGGATGTGAGGAATAATCAATCATTTTGTGGATAGCTCTTAGGTCTTTAGCAAGTCAATATCTTTGTCACCTAATGTCTTTATTGGCAGGATAGGAGTATTACAAGAGCTTAAGATAGGGTCTGAGAAGACCTTTGGATATTAGTCTTTCATCTGTAGGTTTGAGTCCTTCCTTTGTTTTGGCATCAAGAGATATTGGAAAGACTTGGGTAATGTGTTAGTAGAACCTATCTGAACTTTAGTAGGTTCTGCTCCAATTATTTTGCCTATGTCAATGGGATATTTAGCTCCTTGAGACACTGTACAGATAAGGTACAGTGTCAAGATCCTTATTTGGAGTCTGCATTAAATATAATGAGGAAATAAAGGTCTACCCAGAGCAGACACTCTTCCTAATGAATAGAGAAGTCCTCTGAGACCTCAGGAAATGGTGTCTCCAATGTACATTTAAGATTGCCATTTCATTTTCAAGGAAAGTCTCTCCTTAAAAAATTTTCAGGATTGTGTCACAGAGCAGGAAAGAATGTTTTCACTCAAGGATCCAAGAGTTACAGTTCGTGGCTGGGAAATAGGGAGAGAAAAATTCATGGGTCATTTGAATAACCCTACTTAAGTGTGTGTCTACTGTGAGGAGCAGGTTGGGAAAGGTATCAGGTCTTGTGCAGAGAGAGTCACTCTGTATCTACCAGGAATTGATGGGAAGACCACCCATATCCATTGTGAATTCACCTTGAAGGTAACAGTGTGGCAGGATGTTGGGTAGGCTTTCCTTCCTCAGGGAACCCTCGCTGATCTTAACTGAGGAATCTTTTTTTCTCTTGGTGGTTCTTTCTTAAGATGGGATCATCATCTTTCTGGTGTCCCTTCTGTTTGCAGTATCTGCAAGTGTTCTTGTCAGAAGTTGGAGGTTAGGGAGGGAGCCACCTAGCTCTTTGATCTGCAGGGTCATAAATTTATTTTGGGTAATGTCTCACTTTTGTTTTAAAACCCTTACAAATGTTCTGCCATTTTGAAGGCAGTCCAGCTGAATTATTTACCATTCCAATTTATGTTTCCAAATTTGGTTTCACTTCATTACAACATGGAATGAAAGGGCTGCTCTTACATCAGCAATTTCTTTAACCTCAAATGTTGTCAGAAGGTGTTTTCTAACCTGTCTCCCAAATTTCTGGTTGCTCCATTTTATCTCTTGTTTTCGTGATTGTTTTAATCAGTTTCTACTGGAAATATTTTAGATGTGGCTTTTAGAAGACTTTGCCCTATAGGACCTTTATTTGACCCTCGGGTTTACTCGTGGAAAGAATCAAGTTGACAGAACTCAGGTAACTCTGGGTCATATGCACTCAAAATTCCAAATTCTTCTTTTAGTAGTTGCTGGTCTTACCTAGGTTTAGGGAAATCCTTAATTATCGCTCTTAATTCAGCTCTGGTCCAAGATTTAAACTCCTCAGTTGCTTATATTCCTGGCTTATGAGGGGGATGAGTTTTTATAGGCATCTGGCTTTTGGGGGTCTTAGGAGAGTTGGGGAAGATAGGGGTGGAGTCAGTGGAGAAGACAGATAGAAGGAGAGGGGAGAGAGACCCTGGGCAGGGGAGCAATGAGAGGATAAAAAGGGAGGGTTTGTGAGACTGTAGAGTCTGGTTCGTGTGACTGAAGTCCATCAAGTAGCAACTTTACCCAAAGAATATTTTAGTAGAGCGATTTTTTTTAATCAAAATGTCCTTTGGAAACCTTCATAGCAATAGAAGAAATGCTGCCCATTGGCCTGAGAAATCTTACTCCCTTTCTTTTTTAAGGCACCTCTCTAAGGAAAAAATTTGTTCAAGTCAAATGTTTCCCAAGGTGACCACTGACGCCCAAGTCATCCTGGTGAAGTTGCACCATTTAGAGAGACAGCACGAGAATTAGGGTTGTGACAAGAAGGCGCTCAAGAAGGAGGTTTTCCAGTTTCAGCAGGTGGAATAACAGGAGAACTCTCTGGATAAAAGTCAAATTTTTCTCAGCACAGAAAATTGAGACAAAGGAGAACCTCATCCTGTTTGGTGGGTGACCTATAGCAGTTTGTCTAAGTGCATGCTGGTCCCAAGTCTACTAGTCTAGATCAGATAACAGACTGTGCTCCACCCTGAGACCCTCCTTCTAGACAGCATGGCACAGAGACCCAAGACAGCAGAAGGATGAAAAAGAATGGCCTCATTCCACCAGCAATACCAGTAACAAGTGGCACCAAACTGAGAATAAACAGCTGAAGAACACAGCACAGAGAATGGAGTCCAGACCCAGTGCCAGCCCAGCATGTCCTCGCAGATTCCACGGGGCCTCATGGGGACCTCACCAAATTGAAGGCAGGATCTCCAGCATGGAAGTGAATGAGGCTACCAAAGAGAGCACACTGAGCTGCTAATTCAGAGCTGCCTGTGGGAAGGGAGTTAGCCTCCAACCCTTGTACATAGCAGATGCTTTATAAGACAAGCTTTCTACTGAATTGAGGGGAAGGCTTTAGGCCATGTGCCCTGGTGGAGGCCATCAGTGTGGGGGACTGAAGGGGGAGTCCCTGGAATTAGGCATCCTGTGAGATCCATTTGAGGGTCATATCTGGCTTTCCCTGCTCGGTCCTGAGTTGGAAGTGGGGAAAATGTGAGGGAAGTGGAGATTCTAGGCCAAGTGCAGTAGGGGCTGTGATCTAGCTTCCAGGATGGTTGCTGCAGAGGTTAGAACAGAGTCCTCTCATCATAGATGGCCTGGCTGCCTGCCATCTGCATGTTTGACTTCTAGTCCTCATGGGTAGCCCCTCTCCCTGTTCTCGGGCTGCTTCTATAATGCAGGTTCCCTGGTGCTGCAAATTCAGAGTCTTCACCAGGGATTTCCACACAGTGCAGAGTAGGGGCCAGTCTTCCAGGACTTTGTTGTTTCTGGCCCTGCTCATCAAAGCCCCTTTGGGGTCCCCTCCTCTCCCACCCAGGTCTCCTCTGGCCTACGGGCCAGTCTGCTCTCAGGGACATCCTGCAGCCCCCTCTCCCCTTCTCCATCAGTACTTCCTGAATGTGTCACTTTGGGAACAATCTATGTGCCGTCGTCTGTAAACTGGACATTGTTTCCAAGAAAAGAGGGCACTTTTCGGTGAGAAGTGAACTATGTTACCCTGAATCATAAATTGGACATGGTCAAGTACCAAGAACATGAGGACCTGTCCTGAGGGCCCTGGCCCCATCACCATCTGTGTAGAGCCTGTCTATTCCTGCCCTGCAATAGGCTGTGGGCCACAGCCCAGATACTCCCTATGGCTAGCTGAGGTCTGAGGTACCACTGCCCATGGGTCACCAGCCTGAACTCGAAGCCCAACTTTGTCTCCTGAGTCTCAGAATCATGAACCAAACAACTGGCTGTTAAGGCAGGTCGGGTTCAGGCCCGCCCCTCAGCCCACGCTTTGCTACCCCTCACCTTTGAGTTAGTGACACATCTCCCTTCCCTGGTTGGGACACCCAACAACAATTCTCCATCTCCCATCCCCTCAATACCCAGAGATCACAGCCTCTCCCCCATGTCCCTGCCTCAGCTGGCCCTGAGTGTCAAACACAGTCCCCTGCCTTCACTCTTCACTTCCCTTAGGCCAGCATTCATATGAAAGTGTGTCAGCCTGTTTGTTCACATTCCCTGCCCACCAAGTCTTCACAATGAAGGTCAGACCTGCTCCGTACCCTGCCACAGCATGGTGGCCTCCCTGTCCCACGTGTGTATGGGGTCCCCTCCTATCCATTTGTCCATGTCTCCTTGCCCTCCTGGAGCATGACCTGGCCTGAAGATGCTGGGTCTGGCCTATCCATTGTGTCTTCTCTATGCATGGAAGGGGCTCTGTGAGCTCTCTGAGCATGGGACATGAGGTCTTGGCTACAGAGGCTTTAAAGGATGCACCCCTGCTCCACATGCCTCCTCTCACAGCCTTGCATCTGCACTGACTGGTATTTAGATGAGGCCTGGTGTGCCAGCCCACATGCATGTCTGTCTCCCTTCCTAGGACATCATCAACTCCATGAGCAACAGCCCTGCCACCAGCAAGCCCCCTGTGACGCTGAGGCTGGTGGTACCTGCCAGCCAGTGTGGGTCTCTGATCGGCAAAGGCGGCTCCAAGATCAAGGAGATCAGGGAGGTAACAGGACCTTCTCCAGCCCAGGTTGGCATGGAGCCGCTAAGTGGGCAAAGGCCAGTGACAGTGGGACAGGCAACTTTCCTGAGTGTTACCCTTACCATCTGCAAGCCCAGTTCTAGTCACTGCAGATCTGTGGCAAAAAGGCCAAAGACAGGAACAGCCATCCAATAAACAAACAAGAGTGTGTTGGGGAAACCCAGCCACTCACAGATTCACCCATGGGCATCATGCTGTGGGGTGCAGGGGCCCAGCCAGTGTTGTGGCTCTGGGCACAAGAGACCCTGGGTGCTCGGGCCTGGCTTCTACTACTGGTGAGGGGCCTCGTGGCACTGTCAGGCCCAGTCTCCTGAAACAGAAGTATGGGTCCATCCCAACAGATGGAGCTTGCAGAAGATGTGGATTTTGTGTTCACATATTCACCTTATTTCAGCCACCCCAATCTTGGTTCCTTTCCCCCAACTATAATCCACCTTTCTCTGTGACCTAAAACTCCACAGCGGATAGAATTCTATACATTTGAAAAGAGTAATTTGTCTTCCTACAAATGCCCTCCTTTGATAAGCTGCCTCCTACCCAGCATTGCCCACCCAAGAGAAGATGCAGGGCTAGGAGGTCCAGACTGGTATGGTGGGAGGTGACTTGGGACACTTCCAGGGATGGTAGGACGGGGTGGGGGCACTTGGCCAGTTAAGGCATATTTCCAACAAAGGGTTCTCCAAGGTACCTTGGATGCACCCCTGGGAATCCAGAGGCACTGCTCTCCCTGTTCAACCTGCAACTGCTCTGTCACTCCCCTTCCAACATCTGCTCTCTCCAGTCTACAGGTGCCCAGGTCCAGGTGGCTGGGGACATGCTGCCCAACTCCACAGAGCGGGCGGTGACCATCTCAGGGACCCCAGATGCCATCATCCAGTGTGTCAAGCAGATCTGTGTGGTCATGCTGGAGGTACAGTCTGTGAGCTGGGGGCCGACCATGTCAGTGACTGCTAGCACAGTGTCGGTATGGCCTCCTAGCACTGTTGGTCATTCCAAGGACTCTTGGTCAGGGATGTGGGGGACCAGGCACTCAGAGCCTGGCCAAAGCCCCCAACCTGGCTTCTGAGACAGCCTGAGAGAAAGACATGTTGATGTGGGTGCCATGGGATGGGGGAGTGGCTGCTGTTACTGCCAACTTGGTAGGGGAGGGAAGCAGTGTTTTCACTGGGGAAACTGGAAGAGAGCATGTGGAGAGGAGGGAGCCTTGCCCCTCAATTTTGGAACTGGATAAGAAGTTATTAATCCCCACTGAGGAAGTTTTTAGAACAGAGTTGGAACCTTAAAAGTGGTGCCCATCTACACTAAAGATAAGTTTTGTTGGGGTGGTGAAGGAGGGTAGGTGCCAAGCTTGCAGGAGGTGGCATCAAACTACCTCAAAGGTACAAAGGACAGAACTTAGGAAAAACATGCGAAAATGCCCCAAATGTAAAAATAGAGACACATGAACAAAAGGATTAAAATAGAAAAGTAAAGAAGGTACCACTCCTGAAATTGTGAGAGGAGGAGAAAAAAACATGAAATGTACATTTCTATCAATACCCAAAATTCATGGAACTGTCAAGCTGCTGGTCTCTTCTGAAGCTAAAACAAAGTAATTACCGCCTCAGGTGAAAGATCCTAACAGCTCTGTGTACCAGCCTTCTGACCTTCCTGTGGCCCAGGCGCCTCCAAGCCAGGGCTGCCTCCAGGTCTCCCTCAGGAACTAGAACCTCCCAAGGCAGCTCTTTGGTCATTCCTCTCATACTTGGCTTAGGGCTCACACTCCATGGTTAATTCTTTAAACATTTTGGAATAGTTTTTGTTTTCCTGAAGTGTGATACTTTGTGAAATCAAAAATATTTTTCAAAATACCCTCATTCTGAAACCTTCCCTACACACTGGTCAGAGTGACAATGCAATGCTGGCCCTAAGTTCTCTGTTCAGTCTCCTTCGGTCACGGGGGCCTGGAGGCCAGTGCTGGCCTGAGGCTCAGAGAAGAGGTCCTGCTGGCAGCAGGCTGGGCATGTGTGCTGACATGCATCTGGAGGAAGCAAGATACACATGCCTCCCTTTTCACCATGGCAGGATGCACAGTGAACATATACATGATTCTACAAGGGACACAGCCCCCATGTCCCTGACCAAGGGCTGAGGCCTGGCTCCTTGCACACAGTGTGTGGTCTTATCAGCATCATCATGTGGAGCTGCTCCCAACATAGTAGTCAATGCCACAGCCCCACAGACAGGTGAAACCACTGGCTATAGGATACTGGTGCCCTCAGGCCACCTTGGGAACCACCCTGCCTCCTTCCTGAGTAGTGAGGCTTGATCACTCATGATGGCGAGTGAGCATGTGGCAGCTATGGACAGTGAAGATGGTCTGACAGGGAGCCTCCTGCTCACTGGTTGTGGCAGCTCTCCAATGAGGAAGATTCATCCACCTGGAAACAGCTGGGTCTATTTTAAAATCAAGAGTAACTGGAAAAGCAAAGCAAAAGATGCTTAGAAATGCTCCTTGTTGACCAGAGGACTTTTCACGCATGATCAGCAGATAAACCTCAGCCTCATAGCTGTGAAATTATGGAGGAAGGCGCTGTAAACCTGGGCAGGAGCAGCAAGCGGGGCCGTAGCTGGCAGCGGCTACATCAGCCCCCATCCACTTCCAGTTTAGTTTATTTCTTCTAGTATAGAACAGACCCTAGGTATAGAACAGACTCTGCCTGGGTCAACCCGGGCCCGCTCAGTGATCCTCCCCACATTACACAAGGCCACACTGTGTGGCTAGAGTTCTGCAAGGCCTGCCTCGTCACCCTGTGTTTGAGTGAGCTGCATTCCCAGGTCACAGTGATACCCAAGGGTGGGCTGGCCCTGAGTCTCTGAGGCCCCAGAGCTCTTAGTAGGGATAGACCACCCCAGTGACAGCTGATTGGGCTCCATGTTGCTGCCCCACCTCTCTCTGCTGGAACAGGTCCAGCTGGGTCCCCCTCAGGCCCCAGACTCCCAAATCCCTGTCCTGGGCCCAGGGACATAGCCACACAGGGGGCCTAGAAACTGATTACTTCTGGCCAAGGAAGGAGGGAGGGCAGGCTGAAAATTCTGGTACTTAAGAACGTTTGTCCTATATTTTGGACACAGAATAACCAAGGGAAACCTCATCATGACTATGAAATAATTCCTTTGGAGTCTGTAAGAATTTTTTAAAGTAGCTTCTTAAAATAATAAAATTGGATGATTCTAATTTTCCCACAAAGATCTCTGCTGACTCGCCACAGGCCATGCCAAGCACTTAGGGCCATAGACCCTGGGATAGTGTATGAAGGGATCAGCCTTCCCAGAAAATTCAAGGGTTTCTCTGAGAGACCCCAGGCTCTAGGAAGCTGCAGGCCTGGCCTGCAGGGATGTGTGCACCTGGGAGGGCCATACTGACAGAGGCTGCAGCAGAGGGGCCAGCACTTCCCTAGAAGGATTGCCTCCCAGGCGGCCTCCCACTACAGGACTGACCCTTAGAACTGCCACCAGAGCCTCTGCTTCCTGCTGGGGTTGGTCCAAGGGCGTGTTCAGGGCAGGTGAAACAGGTTACTCAGAGGAGGGGACTTGGCAAGAAGGAGTCCTCTGGAGAGAACTGGCAGTAGTACAGCCACATGGGGTGCAAGGGCTGGGCTCTCTCCTGCCCCTCCCTCAGCACTGCTGGCTGGGACCAAGCCTGGAGTGGGGAGGGTGGGACCGGCGCATGGGGTGGGCTGGGGCAGGCACCTCCATTGCCAGGCTGCGAAGCTGCTCTAACGCTCTCTCTCCCTCTCCTGTCCCTTTTCCTAGTCCCCACCGAAAGGTGCCACCATTCCCTACCGCCCAAAGCCCGCCTCCACCCCTGTCATTTTTGCAGGTGGTCAGGTAAGAGCCGACCCGCTCGCGGCCTCCACGGCCAACCTCAGCCTTTTACTGCAGCACCCGCCGCTGCCCGTTAGTGCACTCAGGTTTTCTCGCCTTCTCACGTGCACGTCTCCCACCCGCACTGGATGCAGGGCTCCCCACCTACACCCAGCACCAGGCACCAGATAGACAGAAATGGCCCAGCAGGAAGGACCCTGGGATCCAGTTCATACCTGACTCTGCCCAAATCTAGTTTTTGGGTGGTGGCAGGAAATTTAGACAATCAGCAGTCAGGTGCTCACTAGTGACTTAATGACTCAAATTGGAAGTGATTAGCACCATATGAACTAGGGTCCCAGATGGGCATGGTGTCTCACACCTGTAATTCCAGCACTTTGGAAGGCTGAGTTTGAGAGGCAATAGGAGTTCGAGACTAGCCCAGGCAACACAGTGGGACCTCATCTCTATAAAAAATTTTTAAAATAGGCAGACATGGTGGTGTTGCACGCCTGTAGTCCCAGCTACCTGGGAAGCTGACACGGCAACAAGCCATGATGGTGCTACTGCACTCCAACCTGGGCAACAGAGTGAAGCCCCAACTCAAAAAAAAAAAAAATCCCATGTTCCTCTGAAATCCATGTTCCCAACTCATACAACACCCAGTGGGAGCATGTGAGAGAGAAGAGCTCTGCCCAAGGAAGGCAGCACAGCCCAGGCAGGCATTGGTCCCACTGCGGCCATGACCTCCCTCCACTGTGAGCAGGCAAGCCTCACTGATGCAGAGTGTCCACATCCACAGACCCAGCCCTTTTGGTTTCAGTCACCAAGCTGCATTTTCTCCCAAGGGGATGGCAGTGCCACCTGGCAGAGTCTGTGGAGAGGAACAGAGAAACAGGGCCCGGTCCCAGTCCCTCACCTGTGCCCAAACCCTGCCTGAGGAGTGACCCACCTATGCCAGGGCCATGGTGGTCAGCTGCAATCCATAGATTTTGAAGGTGTCCGGCGGGGGTTGGCCTGGAAGAGCTCTGCATCCAGTCGGCCGCAATGTGTGTCTTTGTTCAAGGGAGAGTTGAGACAGATACCCACAGGTGACCACATGGGGCAGAACAGGACTTAGGATTTACTTTATCCTGAAAAAAGAACAAGAAAGACAAATGAAACTTTTCTTTATGTTTTTATTTATGATATGAAGGAATCTTATCAGACCTCCCAATCAACATCCACATTAGAAAGAGGGACAGGGCTTGTGTATCCATCCCTTCAGCCAGTACCATGTCCACAGTGAGGGATGGGCATCTCATATGCAGCCTATGTGGCTGTGCTGTCTTCTCTAGCCTCTTGCCCAGCTCTGCCCTGCATTGGCAAGGAGCCCCCATGTGCACACACCAGTCTTCCAGCAGCCCTGGGACATAGAACACCAGAAAGCTGGCTCAGAGAGCCAGGGATTTGCCAGGTATCACAGCTGGGACTCACTTCACTAACCTACAAAGCACAGGTCACAGCACACAAGTTACAGCAGGAGAAGTCCTTCAAAATTCCATTTCCTTGCTTACCCCCACCCTACCCCCAGATTCATGATTAGTTAACAGATTTGTAACCTGTGTGGACTCCACCTTAATGTGGGGACAAATCCATGATGATATCACATGGAAAAATGTGGGAGTTTGTTCAACAAGAAGATGTGTTTATACAAATAGTCTGTAAAACAATGTGGTTTGGGACCACAGCTGGAGGGAGGAACACAACAGGAGGATTCTGCTCAGCAGCCCCAGCCCCATTGGGCTTATATCTGCCTGGAAAACAGGAGCATCAGCCCAACCTCTCTGTTACAGTGGTGAAGGTCACTCTGTAATGGGTGCCTGTCCCAAGGTTGTTGCTACAATGTCAGTGCCCTTGGGACAGTTGGTCTGGCTGGTGGTTGGCTTTGGTGGTGTGTCAGGGACAAAGTCATATGGGAGTTGCTTCTGCATTGTAAGGAATCTGAGAGAGTTGCCAGGATACAAACCCAGAAGTGAAGAAGTGAGGGCTCAAATAATACCCGAGGCAGCAAAGACCCCGGGTCTCTTCAGACCCCAAAGTGCCAAGTATAGGATATGCAACAAAACACAGACTTTAGAGAAAGGCAACCTGTCAAGAACTAGAAAGATGTCCTGTCTCCGGGTGCTCTGTGGGCACCCCTTGCAGCTGTGCCTGTGGCTGTCCTACCCAGAGGCAACTCCCATTGGCCACTGTGTTGCCAGCATGTGAAGATAATAGGTTCATGCATGCAGAACCTACAGAGGAACAAGCCAATATAAAAATGACTACAGAAAGCAAACAGAAAGATAAATCAGAAAACCAAAATGACCTAGGGTAGAGAATTCCCTCAGCACTTACAGTGCAACCCAGACATTCAGGACTGACCTCCTGGGACTCTGGCAAGCTGAGCAGGCAGGCTTGAGCACAAGTTCTAGGGTCTGTCACATTCAGTGACACACTGGAACATGTCCCTGGCAGCAACTTGACAAAACCTGAAAATGGGCAGCAAGATCCCACCCCTTTTTCACTAGGACACTTTGCTATTTCTGATAAGATTCATTACTTCCTCTGCTAGTGCATCAGAGCCACCCCAGACTTGGACCTCACGCTGCTGGGTTATGGCCAGGTGCCTGCTGGTGATCAGTTGGCCTTTAACTCCCAGGATTGGCTTGTTTTTGGTGAAAACTTCAGGCAGATTCAAAACCCATGAGATGGCTTGGGCTCCACAGAGGTGACATATGACCTTCCCTGAGGTGTCCCTCCCAGGTGTACAGGGGCCCCACATGTGGATACAGCAAGTACCATGAGTACGCATGGGAAGTGGTGTGGGGCCTGTGTGTCCAGGTGCTGACAGTTGCATCTCCACCCCTGTGTCACCACCAGGGCTGGCATGGCACCTTCCCATCTCTGAGTCCTGACAGGTTGTCCATGGTCTTCACTCTCCCTTGACTCCATGTGGTCCATCGGTTGTTTGGCCATGAAGTTCTGAAACACCTGAAAGCATCTCCACTGACAGGCCCATTGAGGCAGGTGGCGCCTCGCTCACCTACTGGGATTTCAGAGTCAGGGTGGGCGGGAAGAGGCTACAGTTGGAGTCCCTGATTTGAAGGCAAGGGTAATAAGCCAGAATGAGGCCTCAGGACCCCATACTGACCCTCTGGTAGGACATGTGTGCATGGGCTATCCCCATGTTAGAACGCCCCCCTCCCTATCTTCAGGAGTGGCCAACAGAAGACTTGACATGAAAGACAAGTTGGGTCAGTCCTGTGTCTGATTTAGATTCATTTCCTGCTAATCTGGCTTCTGTTTAATTGGTTTTGGTCACCTTTTAAAGGTTTCTTGTTTTGATTTCTTGAGGTAAATATTTTCCAAAAGTATTTACTCAGATGATTGATTAAAGTTTCAAAAGGTTAATTATTAGTGGACCTCTTGCTAGGGAGTCACAGAGATCACTCTTACCTATTTTTATTTTAAGAAACTTAGGGAAGTGAGAGTTGGAAGCATTGAGGCTGAATTATTTCCCTGCCTCTTGCTGACCTGACCGACTCAACTCTGCTGCCCTCAGAGGAAGTGGGGCAGTTCCTGGTCCCCAGGAAGATGAGCCCTCTGCCCTAGGGATGGGACAGGTAGAGGTGAACACTGAGGGAGGAAGTGCTCACCAGGGGTCCTTCTCATGCAGGGAGGGTGGCCTGTAGGTGACAAGCTGCTGCAGTACCACCAGGGTGTGAGCTGATGGTGTCTCTCTCTCCCTCTCTAGGCCTACACGATCCAGGGACAGTACGCCATCCCCCACCCGGATGTGAGTTTCACTTTGTCTTCCCTTCACCTTCCTCTTCTCATGATTGTTTACCTACCTGCATGCTGCTGTTAATTGCTACTAATATTAATATTATACAATAATATTAATCAGTTTTCTCAGTGTTCCTGACCTGTGTTGTATCCATATGACCTTGAATTACCTTTTAACCTCTTAGCACTAATTCTGCTTGTGTTGAGGACTTGGCCTGATGTCAAATTGTCTCGATTGTCTGCTGCAAGTCCTGGGCATCCCCTCATCCACATGGCCTCAGATGGAAACTGCAGAATGACTGTCTCAGACACCCTGCCCTGTGCAGGACTGCAAGGGTGTGCATGCACCCGCCATGGGCAGGGCTTAGCACGGTGCTTTTGTGCATCTGTGAAGTTAGTGATGTTGTCACACAGGTCACAAAGAGATCTTGGAAGGGCATTTAAATGCCTAGTGAAACTCAGCTCTCCCCTTTCATACCCAAAATTGAAAGGTAGGGTCCATTCATGCACAAAGTCCAAGTTGTAGAAAGCAATACAACAGGCCTTTGTGTTCCTTCCATAGTTAGTGAGTTGCCACATAGGGTTCAGTTTCTTTGGGCTCTTGGCTGGGCCATGCGGATTTGGGCCTCATGCCACTCTGTGACTGGGTCTGTTCAGACATCTTTCTCCTGATTGCATCACAGTCTGAATAGAATCTCAGTGGTGGCTGAAGATACCCTCAAATAAACCATCAGGAGAAGAGTCATGGACTGCTCAGGTTATGGGGCTCTGAGCCTTTAGGGGCTGAGGTATGAAAGGCAGCAACTTGTGTGCAAGCAAAGGACTTTTCTTGGAAGGACCTTTGTTCCGCTGGCCAGTGGTGTCTGCACTGGTAGGTGCTAGGAAAAGAGGGAGAGGGGAGAGAGAAAGAGAGAGGGAGAGAAGAAGGGAGGGAGAGAGAGAAAGAAAAAGAGAGAGAGAGAGAGAAGTGGCCACGCTACTTGAGTGCTGTCAACAGATGGAGCAAGCCTGGAGTTCATTCTGGGAGGCTCTTGCTGCTCTAAGCCATTTTGAATGTCTGCCCAGTTCAGCAGCTGCCCCTCCCATGCATTTCCATGCCATGTACCACTCTCTCTGAGAGGTGCCTCTTTATTAGGCAGGAGGTGGCCGCCAGGCAACATAGGTGCTCACAAACCTTCTGCCGGCCCTTGAACTTCAGAGTGGACAGGAAAGAGGATCATCTAGTAAAATATGAAGACAGGGCTGGGTGTGGTGGCTCAAGCCTATAATCCTAGCACTTTGGGAGGCCTAAGTGAGAGAATTTTCTTAGCCCATGGGTTCAAGACCCCTCTGGGCAACTTTTTGAGACCTCATCTCTACAATAAATCAAAAACTTAGCCAGGTGTGGTGGCATGTGTCTGTAGTTCCAGCTACTTGGATGGCTGAAGTGGAAGGATTTCCTGAGCCCAGCAGGTTGAGGTTATGGTGGCCATGAGTGGGCCACTACACTTCAGCCTGGGCTAGAGAGTACTACACCGACTCAAAAGAAAAAAAAAATTTGTAGGCAGGGTCAGGGAGGGCTTCTAAGAATGAATGAACATTAAATAAGTACTTGAAATATGGGATTTTATTCACTATCATTGCAGGAAAGTTTATATTGAGTAGAAAATAAATACCAATGGCTATTTCTTTTTTTTAAAAATTATCATAAAGCAACACGTGAATCAAATGATAAAAAATGTTGATCAAGAAAAGTCCTTCCCCACCCACCCCAAGAGGCTGTTTTTAATCGTTCCTGGTTTTAGACTTTTGGTGATGCTGCCATAACTCTGAATCAGTGACATCCTGTCCTTGAGTCATCAACTATAGACATACCTATTGTCTCCACTCAGGAAGCCCAGGCTATGGCTATCTCACACCGTCACATTTTTCCTGACCAGAGCACGCTGTGAGGGCTTCATCATCCTGCACCTAGTGGACAGTTTTAAATAGAAGCAATGTGTGTGTGTGTGTGTGTGTGTGTGTGTGTGTGTGTGTGTGTGTGTGTAGAGAGAGAGAGAATGAGGCTAAAAAGAACTGGAATTATTTTTTCGAAGAGTGGACTCCTTATAGAACAGGTTTTCCCCACTAGGTAAGTGTTCTTGGAACCCATGGGCATCAATGTACCAGCCAGCGTTGTTGTGAGAGGTTGCATGTAGCTTCAGTGAATTTGTTTTGGAGATTCTTTCGACATGTTTGCCTGTTTCATGATAGGTGACTTACAGGTGCCCCTGCCCACAACATGCTGCGTGTTCAGCAGTTTCTGACCAAAAAATGGCATCACCCCCGTGACCCAGCCTCGCTGTTCACCTGATCTCGCCCCAAGCAACTTTTTTGCATCTCCCCAGATGAAAAAGTCCTCAAAGGGAAACATTCTGCCAATGTGGAAGAGGTGAAACAAAAGATGGCAGAAGCAATAAAAGGCGAGCTCAAAAACTGTTCTGAGTGTTGGAAAAAGCATTTTGATAGGCGTACCGCATCAGATGGAGAGTACTTTGAAAGTGACTGAAGCTTAAACGTGTAAGAATAAACACACAAGTTTTTATAAATAAATTCCGGTCGGGGGGGGTTCCCCCTCATCTATCTATCTCTTATTATTTCACAAAGCTCTAACAGAAACTCTACTTGGCCCGAGAAATGAGAATAAACTGAAAGCCTAGGGGACTGGGCCAGCACACATTTTGCTGGGAATAGTACTTAAGCAAAAGCTGTTCACCAGAAGCTTTGTGGCAAAGGGTCAAGGGAAAGGGACAAACCCTCTGTTCTGGGCAGAACTGAGTCCCGTGGTTGCACATGGTGAATTTTCTACTCAAATGGAAAGCCTAGGGATGGTGGCAGCCCCCATTCGAGAGACCTTCTCAGATTAAAGAGGCTAAGGAATGTTGGATAGGGCTGGCCCTTCAATGACACATACACACCAAGGGCACGTGTCCTGAGGGGGGATAAATAGCTTTAGGCTAAAAAGTACAAGCAAGGCATCTCAGTTTTTTTCTTTCAAAGATAAAGAAGGCTCAACCTGTAATCCCATGCCTTGGGAGGCTGAGGTGAGTGGATTGCCTGAGCCCGCAGGTTCGAGACCCGCCTGGGCAGCTTGGTGAGACCTCATCTCTACAATAAATCAAAAATTAGCCAGGTGTGGTAGCGCGTGCCTGTAGTCCCAGCTACTTGGAAGGCTGAGGCGGAAGGATCGCCAGAGCCCAGCAGGTTGAGGCTGTGGTGGCCGGGAGCACGCCACTACACTCCAGTCTGGGTGACAGAGTGAGACTCCAACTCAAAAAAAAAAAAAAGACAAAGAAAATTGGAATTTAGGTTCAGCCTCTTTAGACAGATGATATATTAGTTACTGTCTACTTAGAAGAACAGAAGTCGGCCAGGCTCGGTGGCTCAGCCTGTCATCCCAGCACTTTGGGAGGCCGGGGCGAGTAGATTGCCTGAGCCCATGGGTTCGCGACCAGCCAGGCAACTTGGTGAGACCTCGTCTCTACAGTAACTCAAAAATTAGCCGGGCATGATAACGCACACCTGTAGTTCCGGCTACTTGGAAGGCTGAGGCAGAAGGATCGCCAGAGCCCAGCAGGTCGAGGCTGGGTGACAGAGTGAGACTCCAACTCAAAAAAAAGAAAAAGAAAAAGAGAAGTCGCTCTAAAGTATTTCCAGTATTTCAAGCATGGACGTATTTAATGCAAAGAATTGGCTATAAAAATGGCAGAAGGCTTAAAGGGGAAAAAGGAGGGAGTACTGCCCAGAGAACAGAGAGCTCCTATCCCTCTGAGATGAAGGCTGTAAGACCACACTCAGCACGTGCCCCGTGGATGCAGCATCACTGCTGCTGGGCCGGAGACACCCGGCTGCCTCTGCCACAACGGTAAAGCTGCTGGAGACTGCTGTCGCCTATAGCCACCTGCAGATAGAAGGAAGACATTTTCCTTCCCTTTTGATCTTCTAATTGCAGGTCAGAGCTTCCCACTGGCAGAAACTAACAAGAAGCCAGCTGGCAAGGGAATCTGGGAAATGTGGTTTGCAGGCTTCTAGACCCATCAGCATAGATAAGAATCAAAAAGGCAAGTCTGAGGCTGAGACAAATAAACAGATAACCTGGAGCCCTGAGGTCTCACAGAGCCAGGGCCAATGGCAACATTGTGGTCTCCCAAACACATGTGCTATTGGAAGCAAGGAGTAGCAGAAACTAAAAACTCTACAATGGAAGTGGGTTAGCCGAGAGGACAAGGAAGAAGCAGAAGTCCAGAAGAAGCAGAGCTTGGGAGAGGAAGGATGGTGATTTAAGGAAGAGACCGAGGTCCGTTCACAGTCCTCTGAGTCTGGTCGTGATTCCGAGTGATTCCCCTGTATCCCTACAAAATCTTCTCTTTATTTGTAATCAGAAAATTAAATTGATGGGCCGGGTATAGTGGCTCACACCTGTAATCCCAGCACTTTGGGAGGCTGAGGCAGGAGGGCTACTTGAGCCCGAGAGTTCAAGACCAGCCTGGGCAACATAGCAAAACCTCATCGCTCCAAAAAAAAGCAAAAAGTTAGCCAGACATGGTGGTATGCGCCTGTAGTTCCAGCAACTTGGGAGGCTGACGTGGAAGGATCGCCTGAGCCCAGAAGGCTGAGGCTGCATTGAGCAATGGTCATGGCACTGCAATCCACCCTGGGTAACAGAGTGAAACCCTGACTCAAAAAAAGCAAAGAAATTCAAATTATGGGTTAGATTTAGTTTAAGAAAGATAAATGAAATAGAAAATTTCAGCCGGCCTCGGTGGCTCAGCCTGTAATCCCGCGCCTTTGGGAGGCTGAGGTGAGTGGATTGCCTGAGCCCGCGG